AGCCAAGAGAGATTCCCTTCTGGCCAACATCAGAAACCAACCTGGCTTTGAAGATTTCCTCTGTCCCAAGCGCTACAGTGATCTGTGTCAAGCATCACAGCATGGACCTATTGTGATCCTTAATTCCCACAAGGAACACTGTGATGCCATTGTGCTTCTGAATCCAGTGTCAGATCCACTACATATTCCACTTTCAGAGGTTTCACTGGACCAGCTCGAAGCTCTCAGCATTGAACTGAATACTAATGGACTTGAAGGCAACATCAGACTCTCTGGTATTCGTGACCCACCATTTAAACCCTCTCAACAGTCTTTTCAAGAGATATTGGAATGGCTCTGGACACATATTGTTGTCCATATTTATAAAGCCTTGGAATTGGTCAGTAAATCCATCCAGTCATTATTTATCTGAACTAATTAGCACTGTATATTTAGCATGACATTCCCAATGGTCGCCTATGGTGGCTTCCAACTGGTGCCTTCAAAGGACTACCCTTGCATGCAGCAGATCTATCTGATCAATATATCTCATCCTATACCTCAAACTTGGAGTCCTTGCTGTATTTGAATTCAAAAGAAGCAAACCATCCACCAAGACTAGGGATCATTGGAGCTACATCTAGTCAAGATAGCACCTCAATACAATTCCCCGGAGTGCTCGAAGAAGTCACTAAGATTGCAGCCATTGTTGGAGAAGCCAATGTGCACTGTCTGGTCGGAGAGAAAGCAACAATGGGGGCTGTAAACCTCCAATTCCAGGATTGTTCTTGGATTCATGTAGCTGGCCATGGAAATCAAGACCTGGACGAGCCTCTGAAAAGCTTTATCCAGCTACATGATGGTCACTTGGAATTAGGAGCCATTATTCGGATGAACCTTTCCAATCCTGATTTTGCTTTTCTTGCAACATGTAAGAGTGTTACAAGGAAAACTGATGAGGTGGACATGGCTGGGGGATTTAATGTTGCAGGTTTCCGAGGAGTAATTGGAACCATGTGGACTATGGATGATAAGGATGGGCCAGTGGCTGCAGAATCATTTTACACCAAATTGTTTGCAAATGGTCGAAAGCCGAAAGTCAGTGATACAGCCCAGGCCCTGCAGCTCGCAGTGAGGGAACTGCGGGATAGAGGAGTTCCATACCGCCGCTGGGTCCCATTTATTCATATGGGAATTTGATTTTTAGAGTTGACCTGATGTAGTCTTTACACAATTTTTTTTTTCTTTTTGGGTACCGGGCAGTTAGAGACCTCTTCGATTTTGAGTTACACTTTGACATCACACATAGCCCCGATTTATAGATAAGGTAAGGTATATCTCGCAATCCACTGTTGTTTGACAAATTTATTTTGGGCTGACTCTATAAATTGCATGGTCAACGGATCCCATGAATGGCGAGTCACTGAGTTGTACAGTAGCAGCTTGTTCATGATGATGCTGCAGATTTTGGGAATAGCCATAAAGGGTGAGACGACGTGATATGAGGGTATTTGGATAATACTGTACTTTTTCAACCGTAGATTCAGCGGCTGTGACCTGTGACCACTTAGATTCAACTTTCCCTAGATTCAGTGGGAGACAGGACCTTCGACCAATTTCTTCCCCATTCAATGTGTCAAGTTCTTCCACTCAAATGTCATAATCTACTCAACTTCGCCAGTCAAACTTGAAGATTTGAGCTGAAATCTCAAGTTCTGCATATGTTCAGGAGCAAATCTCGTCGCTGTGATGGCCGCGGAGAGAATTTTGAATTTTCCAGGTGGTGGGACGCAAAAATGACCCATCTTTCAGACCCTCCGGTGACCTGTGACCAAAATAAGATAGATTCAATTCAGCTGACAAAGTGACCTGTGACTGAATCTACGGTTGTAATAGTACAGTACACTGGAGGGCATCAAACAGTGTCAAAGAATTCTGGTATTCCATATGAATGCTCCACCATTGCGTGCAGGAGTACAGTGTCGAGCTGGAGAACAGAGCTTTTATCGGGATGATCAGCACTTTCGATGCATTGAGTCTCAACTGCAGCTCTAACAAAGGGATCCGACAGATTTGGGAGATGTTGAGACACTCCTCCATGTGAATCCGTAAAATGGGGTTGTCGCGGAAACTCAGAAGGGACATGCACATGCCGAGGTCTCCATTGAGGACCTAGGTGTCATCTGAGGCCCCCTGAATGAGGAGTGCACGCAGATCGAATATTCTTGGGAGTAGTTTTAGCCGCGCTGCTTCTCTGTGGCTACCGCTGCGTTCAAAACCAGAAAATTGCGGGACGAAAAAAGCCTCCCATTAGAACGGTCAGATTGGCTTTATAGCAGTTTACTTGCAAATTTAACTTGAACAACTTCATTAGACATGTCCAAGGTCATTGTACTGCAACTCAATCCAGATCGTAGTCCCTTGTTTAGGGTAGTACCCTTTCTATCCTGGGTTAGACGGCCCGATGAGATTTTATTTTTTCACTTGTGAAGGAAAAAAGAGCCTTGGAGGGACTCGTCCAGAGGTATTTCAAACTCCGGCCGAGCACGGCCAGCACTCCCACCAAGCACCTTTTTTTTGTTGCAGCGACGGACTTGCACACCATCGGACAAGCTCGGGGTAGACCCGGGTGAGAGCGGGTGTTTATTTTATCCCCACACGAACCTCCTACTTTCCCGCCCGCCCATCTCCATCTCCTTCTCTGTTTCTTCTCAATACACCCCCCAATTTCTTTGATGCGCTATCTAGTACTATCTAAACACCTATAACCCCTACCGCATTTATAATCTCTTCGCCAACTCAACACCACCACAGCTCAATCCACCACAAATATGCACTCGTCGTCTTCCATATCCTCTTCATTGCACAGTATATTAGCCACACGTCCAATCGGGAGCTCGAGATGTTTGATTGGGCATGTACGACTTGATGGCTAGCTCGCCGCCGATTGGATCAGAGATAAGCGAGGAGCCATTATGAGGGACCTGAAGGATGAGCAGAGGACCGCTCAAAATTAAAACCGGGCTCGGCTTTAGATGGAGATAATCGAAGCAGTGACAGAGACGCACAAGCGGGATCTAAATTACCTGTAATGATGAAGGGGGTATATGTGCATGGCTGGACCTGACGGTGGAACGGAAACCAAGGGACGGGCGACGCAAATGAAAATAAGTGTCGGCTTGCTCGAGACTTGACAGGTTGAATATGAACGGTTATAGTGCTGCGTGAAGCTGGAATGGTAGGGCCTGAAGATTAGGATAGTATCGTGCTCACAGGTTAAATAACGGTGCACGAAAGCAGGAATAGCAGCGCCCGAGGGCTAGAATAGCGGTGCCCGAGGGCTCGAATAGCAGCGCCCGAGTGCTAAAATAGCGGGCCCAAACCCTGGAACAGCGGTAGAATATCAGTGCCCGAGGGCTGGAAGGGCGCTGTGATATCGAGGTAATATCAAACACAAATGGCGGTGTAAGTACGAACCATCGGGGATAGGACCACTGCTCTAATGCAATGGAGGCCGGGTCCTCAGACACAAGGCACCCGTAGCTTTAGACCTTCAGCACCAGCACCAGCGGCACCGTCCTGCGCGCCACGCTGGAGGCCTGGACCGGAGAAGTGCGACACAGGAGCGCATCTATTGTGGGCACGCGCGTGGCGGCGCTTGACGGAAGCCGTTTTTGGGGTGCTAGGAGCGTGCCGGAGAGTAAGCTAGATTCGGGGTCGGGAGGCAGATTGTCTTGCGGGAGCGCTAGACGGCGATCCAAGGACCGGGGTCGGGTTGGTTGGGATTTTGGGGAGACGCCATTACTAGTGTCGCGCAGAAACCCGCGGCGCAAACGGAGGTGCCCGCAGCGAGAGCGCAAGGAGGGAGCTCGACGCTCGAAGAATGACGCACTGGCAGAAAGGCAGAAGAAGGGGACGGCATGGCGGAGTGGTTAATCATGCTGTCCTGACTTCTGATTGATTTTTGAAGTCCCGGGTCCCGCGAGGGTTCGAACCCGGTGAAACCACTCCAATGGGATCAGATGGCTGTGTGGATATGCCATTTGATCCGCCCGAGCCAATGCGCCGGTCGCCGTTCGGACACGGCCGCGGGTTTGAGTCCCGCATCAACCATCAGGAGGTTTAGTGGGTATTGCGTGTCAGCCGAGTCCCACAGTACCGTCTATAAAAGACAATGGTCTGCGTAAAGGCATTCCTTCCTGGCGTGGAGTCACGCAACAACTATTTCGGGTCACGTTCCCCGAAAGACTCCTTTGTGCGATTGTGACTGACGAACCAATGTTGGCCCAAAAGGGGGCGAAAGCCTAGACCCAAGGGGGGTTCCATAATTACGATTATGGGCTCTTAGTCACAATCTAAGCACCGCAAAAAAAAAAAAAAAAAAAAAAAAAAAAAGGGCAGAAGAGACTCCGCTTATAAATGATGGCGCGGGCCGCTGATCGCCGGTCTCGGTGCCGCTCGATTGCCGAAGCCTTGCTCTCCGCATCCAACGTCAACAACCTAACCGCTCAATTGCGCATCGCGAGTAGCAGTATTTATGATCTATCCATCCGGGCTTGCCATTCCTTGGACTCCTTCCATATTATACCGAACTACTAGTATTTACTTCGAGTGGTCGAAATTGATTACCGAATCGAGAGTCAAAAGTCAAGACTCAAGTGAAGGAAATGGAGGTCCAGTATGTATTCACCTCGTGGGACAATGTAGGAGTGGCCTGGTTACAGTATGTAGTGGGAACACACCTGCTTTAATTGGGATCTAACCACGAATCAATGCAGCTTTCCCTCTACCTTTTCAATCCTTTCGCCCCTCTCAACTAGATGTATTTCCCCGAGGGAGGAGTTAAGTATGGCCTGGTGGGGTAGTAGGAACACCTCTGCATCTGCTTCCCCATATAGGGTGGTACTTGCAGGAGTCCCTTGTTCGAATCAAGGCCAGGCCGTTCCGAGATGGAGCCATTTTTCTCCTTCTTCGCATTTTCTTCCACAATATGTATTTCCCTCGGGGCAAGAAGTGGGTATGGCCTGGTGGTGTAGTGGTTACATGCCTGCTTTACTTGTAATCTTTGAATTTGGTTTTAGCGGGGGTCCCTTGTTCGACTCAAGGCTAGACCATCCTTATTTATGATATTCTTTTTGACGCCGCTTTGAACTTTCTCTTTCGACCAGATATATTCACCCTGGGGTAGGAGGTAGGGAGGGTCTGGTGGTGTAGTGGTTACATGCCTGGAGTTTGTTCATTAGGTTCAGCAGGACTCCCTTGTTCAAATCAAGGCCAGGTCATTCAGAAATGGTGCCATTTTTTTCTCCTTTTGCTTTCAACCAGATATATTTTCCACGGGGCAAGAGTCAAGGAAGGCCTGGTGGTCTAGTGAGTACATGCCTGCTATATCTGATTCTCACGGCGAAGAGCATAGTGCAGGAGCTCCTTGTTTGAATTAAGGCCAGGCCATTCCGAGTCTGAAGCTTTTTTTTTATCCTTCTTCTCTTTTTCTTCCAATTAGATTTATTCCTGCCCATAGAAGCTTTTAGTATGGCCTGGTGGCGTAGTGGTAACACGCCTGTATTATTTAAGTGAAAAAGGCAATCGATGGGCGGGAGGCTCTTGTTTGATTCAAGGCTAGGCCATTTGGTTCTGTCATACATTTTTTATTTATCCTCTAGCTTTTCCCGAGAGCGCGCCTCCCCCGCTTTCCCTATATATATATACCGTGTTTTGAGATGCCAGCTCAATTATTCGGGTTGAGGAAAGCACGGCTCGCGGGAGCAAGCTGTCATGCATTAGATTCGGAGGCGGAGTTTAGAAGTTCGAAGGTCGGGACACCGCGAGGCGCTGAGCACAGGCTCCCAGTAGTTCTTACTTCTGAGAGGGGTTCTTTGGGAGATGGCGGTGTTCGACGACGCCGAACTGATTTAATCGAACCAAAATTGAACGGTGAAGCTTTGAAGCCTCGCCAAAGCCTTCCTGCTCCGTACTGCGTCATGTGAAAAAAGAACTTCTACGACTCCTTATTGCAGTGCCAGCAGACAATTCTGCATTAATTATATATGTTCGAACTGGGTCGTTCTTGCGCACAGCATGCCGCTATGAGTTTAACACCACCCCGCGCCGTGGCAGTGCGTGCCTTAGTCATCCTTCCTTATATAGCCACCCCGCCTTGTCTCCGACGCCATTGTCTCTCGTCTCGTCTCTTCTCCTCGCCACCACAACCCAACTCTCAACATGTCCTACTGTGGTGTACGCTCTCTCTATCCTCCCTCGCTCTCAAGGAGACCGAAAGCTAACCGCGGTCGCACACGATAGCACGGATACGGCGCGCGCCCCGCCCCCCCCCAGGCGCATCTCGGTCGACATGGACAGATCGGGCGCGATCACGGCGGAAGAGCTCACCTCCGTCCCCGCCCGCTGTGGCGCCACGACGCACGTCACGCATCCATCGATGATCTAGAGCAAGCGCGATCCTCCGATGGACACCTCCCAAGCCGCACGAGCGTGACTATGGCGTGCCTCCCTTCTCATGCTCGATCTTGTGCTGATTATACTTGCACCTCTAATCGCATCAGACGGCCCCTCACGAAGGCCGCCGCCGTAGCCTCTTCCAGCGCCACGCGCGGGTGCGTCCCTCCTCGCTTGCTTTTCTTTGCAAGGCGGTAACGCCCCCCGCCCCCGCCGCCCGACCCGCTCATCCATGCCCGCCATGCTCTTGCATGACCACCTGCACCTTCTCTTCGCGGCCGGCCTCAGCGAGTGGTTCGGGGCAGGTAGCAAGGCCCGTACCGCCGCTTTGGGTGTTGTGCAGGATGCGTTGCCTTTTGTCTTGTTTTTCTTCTGTCTCGCTTTCTTTCCCTTCTCGGTGGCGCACCGGGAATGCTCATGGGCTCGCTGCGCGCAGCGTGGTTCAGCGGGCGTATGGAGCTGCTCCTCGAGCGTGGGGCGGGCGTCAAGGGTACGGTGCTGTGAGCGTGCACACTAACCGCTCGCGCACAGCTCTCCGCTGCGTTCCGCCGTCCGCCGTGCTTACTGACACCTTCTGGCGCTGGGCGCGAGCGCACACTACGTGGTCCACGCCTCCGCGTACGCTGCCTCGCGGTGGCACAGGGCTGCGCCGGGTCCCGTACGTACTCACGCCGTGTAAAGTAGCCCGAAGTCGAAGTGAATACATCCCCTTGTTTCACAAACACCAGCCCGCGCTGCGCCGCGAATGCCGATTCGCGTGCACGGCGCGACGCAGCGAAAGCGCGCCGAGAGGGCTTGCGCATCGGTACCGAGTTATTCAGTCCGAGCCCGCAGTTACCGAAGGATTATAAAACGGATCTGGGAAGCGTCAGTATTGATGTAACGAGGGAATCGCAGTGAAATGGGATACGGACCTTGCGTCGTTAAAGTCGGTTATTGAGACTCAGAGAGTCCAACGCGGCGCTTTGAAACATGTCATTCAAGCAAAGCGAAACATGAGGCGTACGTAGAGTCGTTCTGAAACCCCAACTCTGGGTCAGTATTAATGTAACGAGGGAAGCGAAGTGAAATGGAGCACGGACCTTGCCTAGCCATTGAGAAAATCAGCCTTCGTGCAGCAAAGGCGAGTACAAGATGGTGGGACAAATAAAGGATACCTTACATGGTATGAAGCGAGTTGGTGGGACGGTGCACGAGTTGAAGTCAAATAAAGTTGGGCAAGGGATATTAGGCTTGAGTCAGAGGTTGCGTTGCGATAAGGCTTACCACTGATGCATGCATGAATTGAATGCTATCAAGGACGCGATAAGACCGCGCGTTCCGAGCTATGCGTGCGGAGATGAGGAAGGATTACTGGAGAGTTAAGGCTCACTGGGACAAACGGGTTAAAGCTGAGTATGCCAGTAGAATCAGAGTAGAAATGAATGGGAGGTTAATTGCGCTGTGAAAATCCGTCCAGCGGACTCGAGGACCCTGGAGCCGTTGAAAGGCTTATACTGACGGAAGCTGTGACATAAAACGATAGATTTATGTACCTGGAGTGAATTCATGGCGTCAGAAAGTCAAGTAAGGCGAAGGGATGAACAAAAAACGCATTAAAGGAACGGTATAAGAAGCTGGGGAAGATAATTCCCTGGGATCGGTGTAATCCTAGAGTACGAAATAAGTTGAGGTCCAGCGGTGTTAAATCTGGGCGCAGGGGCCCGAACGAAGCAAGTGCGAGTAGAAGTGATTACCCGAATTTGTAGACACAGCATTGAAAGGATAGATCAACCCAACTTGAACTTGAGGCTGCTTTGAAACGGCCCGGACCACAGACATCTATGATAAGCGGTCCCGAAGTCCACATGTCCGAGATCCAGATGAAGGTAAAGAAAGTCCTGAAAAGAGTTGCCGAAAGGCAAAACCAACTAGAAGGCTCTGAAGTCCAACGAGGCCCCGGATCCAACAACCAGATTGGGGCATCCAGAAATCGAGATTAGAGGTGCAGGATTGAGGTCAGCGTCGCTGAAATTGGCCCCAGAGATCACCCAAGTCATCTATATAAGAAAGGAACGCGTTGTCTCGAGACAAACCGGCTATCAGCTCCAACGGTAAACTCCGAATGATGTTATGATCTCCACTGCTGCACCTCAAGTTTCAACGTTCGATTCTTCACCCACTGGCACTGTTGGATACCTATATATCTATATAAGAAGGAACATGATTTGTATTTGACCACACAGATTGGCTGCTGGCCACCTTTGTCTCTGGACAAGGCTCGCGCCAAGCTCCGAATGATGTCACATGCTCCACGGTTCCACCCAAATGTTCAATTCTCCACCCAACTGTCCGATTGCTATTTATAAACTGCTGCGATCTCCTTTTCCGAGCGCAAACCTCGCTGGATAACAAATCCTTGTGAACATTCACTCGCCAGCCTGAGGTGCAGTCTAGGCAACCCTTGGTATGAGGGAAATCAGATGAAAGTAAGGAGACAAAGGCAAGGGCTAAGCTGGCCGAGTTTGTACCTAGAAATTACCCAAATTTAGAAGGATGAAGGTAAAGATAGTTTTCGTGTAACCTGGGCAAGATCAAGAGGGAGTTTTGGAATGGGGCATGAGGATGAAAGTTGGATGAAGGCAGGCTTTTTAATTTGGCTGGGAGCAGGATGAAGGCCGGTTGAAGGTACCTTCCTTGCAAATGAGACAAGCTGAATGGGGCAGTTTGAAGACTGGACTATGTAGGTAAAAATGAACAAATGAAATGTTGCACAAATGTTATTGAGGTTGAACAGTATCCGATCCGCCCCATAGAAATTATTCTGGGCCTACTTGCATCTTACACTTCGGAATGTTTACGGATAAAGATGCCGTAGTCCTGGCAGCTGTCAGCAAAGATGAAATTAAACTGCCCATGAGGCCGCGAGGAGTCAACCGAAGGTTGACGACGAGCGGCGTCTTTATTATTTGGCTTACATGGTACATTAAAAACAAACTATCTAGCTGACTTTTGATGCCCAGTGGGACGCGTTTCAATCCGCCGTAGCATAGCACGGGTTACTGCTAGCTCAATACAGTGAACGGCCAGGCGCTGGTTGAGCAAAAGTCTGGGGGAGGCGTCAGTGGGGAGTCTAACACAAGACGTAGGAGTACTCACCAGTGCAGAAACGAAGTTTATAATAGATTCGAATGGAATGCGACCCGAGGCGGTGTCGGTGCAATAAGTACCTGTAAAATGCAAGTCAAGGCTGGCGGTAAATATGGGCAGAGATGAGTCAAAGCCTACCCATAGGTCAGTTGGAGCATCACTAAAGGACTGCGAGGTACCCTGAAATGAAATGGTTAGCGGGGATCATGGTAGGGTCCAGTAAATTAGTCCGGTTTGTAAACCGCCATTTATAAGCATGTTTTTATATAAGAGTAAGTAAGCTTACTTTTACTAAGGTCAGCTTGTGGTTTTGATGCACAAAATCGACGATTTCGGGAGGCAAGTCGATTGAATAATAGGGTACGTGGTCATCCAGGTGCTTGATAATGATGTCCATACCAGATACTTTAATAATTCAACCTCCCCTCTGCACTTGACATAAGTATTGACCGGACAGAAGGATAGTTCCAAAAATGACATTTAAATCGGAGTTCAGTCTCCCCATTGGGCACTGGACTGATTACCATGGTTCAAGTCCATCGCGTAGCTGACAGAGAGTAATTTTTCAGGAAGCTGCCGGCCGGCATACCATATGTCCCGTAAAAACCTGCTGGATCAATACTGTAGATACTTGTACTGTAGCAACTGGCCAACCCACCGTGACACCGACAACAGGTTTAGGCAACGCAACCGATCC